CACACACACACACACATGCGCCCTCCCTCCTTCCCCCTTCACTCCACTCCCTCACTCTCCCTCAGCCGTTCCCCAGCTGGGAGAGGGTTAGTCAACTGGACGCCCGTCCCGCTGATCTGCGGGAGCCCCATGGGAAGTTGCTATGGCAACCGTGGCCGATGAAGACAGGGAGTCGCCAGCAGGCCCGCATGGTTGTCATGGTACTGGCTCTGGCTACAGAGGTGGGAGGGAGAGTGCCAGAGGCCACACCTCCCTACTCCAAAACCAAGCAAGGTTCTGTGTGTGTGTGTGTGTGTGTGTGTGTGTGTGTGTGTGTGTGTGTGTGTGTGTGTGTAGGGAGCTGGCTGGCTTACAGCCTGCACACTGTACGCAGAGCCAGACGAGTTACCAGGCAGGCTCTGCGTACAGCACGGCCATGAACATGACTGCAGCCGAGGGCGAACCAAACTGCTGCTGTGAGGGATTCTGGGGGAATTATGGGAATCTGTCCCACTGTTTTCTGCATCTCACCAAACCACGCTCATAGTTCTCTGTTCTGTTTAACCGAAGAACATGAGGCACACTGCTGCTCTGCAGACGTCTTCGTGCAGATGAAGGAGGATGGATTAGTTAAATCTGTATGAAACCACATTGTGTCAGTGGCTGTCTTTCTTTTTCCCATACATGGACTATACTGTCAAATATATTAGTTACAATCATTTATGAATTCAAATCTGATCAAGATATTGTGACATATGTTACTTGAATTACACTTTATGTGTTTCCACTTTGATATTTCTATGATAGACTGAAATGACACATGTTGACAAGTCAATAGTGAAATATGAGTTTTAATTTTCAGTTCTCACAAGCAGCAGCACAGAGGACACATACACCCACCCAGTGGAATCTGAAGCTTTGTTGGTCACTCTTGTGCTTTTGTATAATTTATGTCGAGTGAAAAACATTGTTGGTTTCCTTCTCTGCTTCGTGGGACGAAGATGAAATCCATGATGATGTCTGTTTGCGCTGAGTCAGAACCAAACACCCTTATGTTCTCTCTCCCTCTCTCTCTCCCTGGGTAGGTGGGTGTGCTGTATGTGGTGTCACAAAAGCCAGATCTAATGTTTCCAGGATGGATCCCAACCATAAAATGTTTAGCTCTCAACATGTTTCCCCTCCTGGGTAGGGAACAGTCTCAGAGTCTCCGTCAAGAACATGGGCCTGCTTTCACTTAAGAGCCGCTTGTTGGGCAACACATGTAGTGTCAGTGTCATGAATGCTCCTTTGTTCAATACTTTGCTCTGCTGCAAAATTAGTCCATGGACAAGGATGAGCATGAGACATCCATGACATCTAATTCTCAGCTCTTACTGATTCATTGTTGGTCTCTGTGCTGCTGTGTATATTTGATCTGACAGCTGCGATTGTGAGGAGACAATGAATGGCTTCTCACATGTAAAATGTTCATACCTGTTCACATTAACTAGTGTTAATAGAAGTGTTCCTTCACCTGAGCAATATGGTTTTTTGTTTTTTTACATGCCATAGTTCAGAACAATTTTAAGTACTTTTCCTGTTTATGTTACTTATAAATTCAGGGCTGTTTCAACAGGGTGGGCAAAACACGCCATTGCGTTGGCCTTCGAACTGAGGGGGGCCCCAGAAGACCACTGATGACGTTAGTCCACAGCGATAACAATATTGTGACAACCCCCTAAAATTCTTTGATCAACACAATGGTCAGAAACCACATAACAAGGCACCATGTCACTAGATTTCAGACAAAAGGTTTTGTTGAAGACTCAAACATTTAAATATGTGCATATGATGTGTCCAAGATGGTGGTGGGAGTTAAACGTTACAATCCTATTTTATATATGTGAATGCACAGCATGCACTTTGATGTCAGGCCCCCTGGTCCCTTTTGCCTGAGCCAAAGTCCCTCAAAAGGCTTCTGCTTCTTCTGCACTACATTTGACCAGTCTAGTGAACCTATACTCACAGTCAAATTGAAATGAAAATGAAAACATAAATTAAATAGTTAACCTATACAATTCATTTTTATTGATTAACCAGAGGTGCCCAGGATTTTTTGGCCGGGGTCCCTTGTTACGCTCAGATGTCAGTGATTTGTTAGCTGAAACATTTCCCATCTAAACTTCTCACATGGTTTCATTTAACAAACGGCTTGAGGCTCAGCATTTTCCAATGTTGAACAAAAAGCAAAGTATAGAGAAAACCCCAGAAAAGCAGAGATTTGTTTTTTCTGCTGCCCCACCTCATTAATCATCTCATGAGTCGTTGGAGATCTCTGACCCTGGAACCATTGAACCAAAATACCAAAATAAAGTTGTTAAAAAAAACTCTAACAAGACTAAAAAATGCATGATGGCATCATAGTAATGATCTAATATATAATAATATGTGTCATTGGGGACAATTTCCAAAAATTAGTACTTGGACTTGAGAAACTTGTTTAGATGATAGTACTTATATGTATCCATTAAAGCATAGCTTTAAATTGAAGACTTTAACTTAAGGCTACTTCTTGTATATTTTGCATTTTGGTGCCAGCACTCTGATTAAAGTGCTCAAATCCTCTCATAAATTAATCAGCTGTTACTGGCACACAATTTAGTGGCACGTCTCTATCTAGTGGTCAAGAGAACATGGTGCAGATTCTCAGGAGTTTGATGTAGTTTGAACTTCTTCGAGAGACATCCACACTACCAGGCAGATTTACACTGTTATTATTCTAAGTGAAGTCTCTCCATGTCATACGGCATGTGTGCCACCCTCTCCTGATCCAAGACATCCTTTTAAACCAGGAAGCTTCCTGAACCAGATGGATCTCTTTGGTTTTTGTTGATGTGGCTTTAGTGAACCCTGCAGGATGACCAGGGGAAGTTTGATCTCCGGGTCTCTTGCCAGCGGGACATCGAGAGTGACCTGTGACCAAAGAAACACAATTTGTAATGCAGCTTTCAGCTTATGCATATACAGCTCATTTAAATCATTTAAGATAAAATGTTTTCATTGAACAGTATGATTCCTTTGTTGTGTCTGTCACTAAACCAGCGTTTACTGACAGCACTGTTGAGCCGATCGTTATACAGAACAGGTTGGACTGTAATGTGACACTTTTCCCTGAATGCATTCTCATTAGTGTGTGGAGATGTTGAGGGGCCTCCCCTGTGACCACTCCTACTCCTCTGTCTCACCCCGTCACACAGCCACCAAGCGGTGCTGTTGTCACAAGATGTCTTGCACAGAAATGTTTTTGCAGGCACTTTACTATAGATTCAAGCCAAGTGTATTTTTCTAAAGGTGCATTAATGGCATCTGAAAGTGTCCCTGGGGTCAGAGGAGTTTCTCTCTTTGCATAGAGTCTCATCAGCAGAAATGTGACACCACAGGATCTCATGCTTACTGAGGTTGTGAACATTTGCATTCCATTATTACAGTTTGCTACAGTATATATGCTAAAGCCTGGACCATGAATTTCTAAAGAGGCGTTCATCCTTTATTCTGACAAAACACAGGAAATGACTAAACTTAACAATAACAGAGAGGCAAACCTACAAAATCTTGAATGACTGAAATGTAACGTACCTATAAGGAGTACAACAATAGAAAGTGGAGAGGTGATGTGGGTGACACGCCCTCATAAGGAGGTAGGGGTAAAGGACGTCATCAAACCTTTCACATTGACAATGTAGGTCTATACATGCCAGGTAATAACTATGTGCAAAGATTTATGCAATTCTAACAGTAGAATAAAATTGAATAGATCTTGATGTATATTGGACTCAGTGATGCAGAATACTGCAGTACAATTAGCATATATCACTAATGGATTGTGGGACAGTGTCTACAGTGACATAAACCCATCATAGCGAATTGGTACCTTGAGTCTGTACTCGAGCTTCATCATGCAGCAGTTGAAAAAGGTGGGGGGCGTCTGTGGAGGGATACTCAGAACTTTAGTAACAACGCGACTCGTCTCGGCCATAACAGAATCTCCTGTCCCAAAGAGCACGTCGTTTGTGTGCACGGTCCTTTTCGACCGAGCAACAAAGGTCTGCTTCTCACAGAGGTAGAATTTGGGTGTTACTGTGCGCGCTGAGTCGTTGAGCACTTCTACAGAAACCCCCATTGCCTCACCTGAAGGAAAAAAAACAAGCATTATGATTGAGGTAACAGCACTAAACAGATATCAGGGCATTCTTATGGAAACCTGTTTACCTTGCTTCACTCCCATTTTCTCAGAGGTAACATTCACAGTCACCTTTCCAGAGCCGTAAAATGAAATCATGGTTGCACTTTGTTGCTCCTGACAAATGAAGACATGTCTTGAGTCGGACATTCAACAGTTTGATCTGGCATTAGCTGCATTTTTACAATATTTTATACTAGTTATTAAAGTGTTGTAAATTTAACTGGAAACAAGTGGATAGAAGATATATTTTTCTGAAGTTTAACAAAAAAATATATTTTACCTTGAGTCCAATGATTAGCATCTCTGATTTGGAGGCAAAGGGGAACTCGGACTTAGTGAGGAAAGGAAACTCCATCTTGGTTTTGTGGACGAGCCAGATTGACTGAGTCAGCTGCGCTCGTAAACTATAGGCGATCTTGCCCCATTTCCCCTCACAAGACGATGGCATGTCCCTGAGAGGAAATAATAACAATCATCCAAATAATTAGGAGAAATGATTTCATCTCACTAGCTGGTAAATTTATATTAAATTTCAATGGGTGAGGTTAGATAAGCATACGCACCTATCGGGAATCGTAAAGGTGAAAGGATACACGTTTCTCCCAGGGCCAATGATTTCTGAACCTTTGAAAAAGAGACATTTATGAATTAAATATAAAGATTATTGTTCAATTCAGAAACTTTGAGTGAGACCATACTAACCATCTCCTTTGTTTTTATCCTGGAGTATAATGTGTTCGAAATAAAAGTATTTCTTCTTGTCGCTGTGAACCACTGTGGTTTCTCCTTCTTGTTCGCACCACGTCACCTCAGCTTTTCCTTTTGCTCTGACCAGGAAACACTGCACTTTGGTTTCCTTGTTGGTCACCACGGTCACCTTTCCAGAGATGACGTCGCCTGGCGAGAAGGTGCCTTGTTCGTTCACCTTGTTGTAATCCAGTGTGAAACGCTTCACAGTCATGGTGAAATAAATGGCCTCGCAAAGGTTGGTGCAGCAAAAGCACGCAGGAAATAATGTGAAATATAAATCCTGTAAATTTACTGGATGCAGGTTTGAATAGATCCACAGTTGACCTGAAGTGGAGTCTTGTGCTGCTGCTCAAGGATGTTGTGGCCAGTGCAGCAGTGGACCTCTCCAGAACCTGGATCTGTGTCACATGTCGCCACGTGATCGAGGGCTGCAGGTGTCACTTTCACACAGGTAACTCTAGCCAACAGCCATGTAGCCTGAACAAGGCTCCATCTTCTGAGAATGATATTGTGGACTAACAGTGTGCAAATTCATATTCCTCAATCATTACTATCAATAATCATGTCACAGAACACCACAGCATTATGTAAGCACTTCATCAAGTACATTATAGGAAATGGTCTGTATTTATATAGTATTTTCTAATCCACTCAAAGCACTTGACCATACAGTTTTGCCTTTCACCCATTCACACACATGCATGCAGTGCATCTATGTGCAGCACTTACTCTATCACACATGACTCACACTGTTTGAGCCTGTTCTGTGTCTTGCCCAAGGACAGGTTGGCGCTCAGAATGGGGGAGATGAGGATCAACCCCCGACCTTCTGGTTAGTGGACGACCTGCTCTGTCTCTGATATTTATTATGTTTACAAAATGAGGCCATTCCCTTTGAATCTTTATTTCACCGCATGAAACCACCAGAGTAGAAACATGACATAAATATTTAATCTGATAACATATTAATAAAAGATGCATGTAGTCATTCCTTTACCAAAGTCATTGGAGTCCTCCTCTGGAGACAATCAGGTATGCTTGAACTTCAAATTAAGCATCTAGCTAATAACATGACAACTGGGTCTTCACAATAATGGCAAATAATGGCTTGTTCTAGTGTTTGTCACAGTGTCACTGGAAATAAATCTGACTTTAAAAACAATTATAAGTGAATACGTTGAAGTTTAAAGGATATAACAAAGACATTAAGAGTCATAACATGATATTTCAGAATACAGCATTTCTTACATTAAAACTTAAAGGCTCATTTATATATTTTATACAAGAATCAATCAGTTGCATTTTATCATCATTCATCATCTTATATTGAATATTGAACACATAAAAAGTCTAAACAGTTGTTATCTACACAAATCATATCAACATCAATGTGCATTTTACATGTGCATTGTTCCTGCACATTAAATTTAACGATACTTAGTTAAAGCAATACTATGTAACTTTTACTGAGCAACAGCGCCATCTGTTATTCTGTTGGATGTCGTGTCCAAGGGATTCGGAATAAGAAAAAAAGAACCAAACATATCAATGTAATGACCGGAACTCTGACCGTGTGGTTCAACTCAGTGAACTGAAACACAACTGAATGGTGGATATTACCCATGATCTCCAGCTTCCTCAACCAGAAAAGCTGCAGCACCAAACTCTGTTCAGAAGTCTTGATATTTTATTTTTAATATCAGAGATTAACGCTGGCTTTGTCATGACTTCTAAGTCTTTTTAGCTGATCTAGATTTTGGCGTTACTCTTGAACTCAGTTGCGCACTTCTCAGAGGTCATCGTACCCTCTCAACAAAGGTAGTTCAAGAACAGGCGTTCAGGGTGAACAGTGGAAATGAGGGCAGCACCATCCTCCATTTATATCACAAACAAATATTTTCAACACTTGCTTCACTCAAAGTCAGTGAAGCATCAAACTCATTTTGAAGCTGCTATTTTAAGGTAAAGCTGCATAGTGTTGCTTTAAATTGTACCTTGTATTTCTAGCTGCCATCATTGTCTATTTACATGCTTCACATTCCAGTGTCCAACCAAACTCTCTAAAAAGTGTCCATCACAAGTCAATACACGTTGAAGGAGTGCAAAGCTAAATTAACAACATACTTGTTACTTTTAAGGCAGGTATCTACAACACAGAGCTATTTTTTTCAGAGTAAGTAACAGTGGGGTGGAAGGCATATGCTTCATAGGGAGGTGGGGGGTCGTAAGGTTGGGGTGCTGCTTGCTGCGGTGTGGTGCTCCGGGTCGGTTGGGTTGGGTTCGCAAAGGCTTCAAATCCATAAGCAGCGGATGCAGGCTGTTGTTTTGCTGGCGCAGCTTTAGGAAGGACGATGATGGGGAGCTTGATCACCGGGTCTTTGGTGCATTTGATATCCAGACAGAGCTGTAAAAAAAATCAGTGGTTTCTAGTTTTTATTTCTTCTTTATATTTCCTGATAAATGTTAATGGTCTTAATCAGAAAGTTTTCCCATCGATCGAAGTGTCAGTGGGGCCTACTTATGATCCTCTTGTTTACTACAAGCTTTGTCTTACTTGAAATGTTGACTTCAGTGGTGTTTACAGTTTTTTTATGTTGGTGTGCACTTTTTATAAGTTACATCTTTTAGCATTTGCCGAGTCATTTTATGAACACTGTGAAAGCCCGGTCAAATATACGCCAATGCAAATGTTTCAGTCATTGTTACACTGATGTATTTGTGGCTGTGCCCAAGGAAATCCTTCCTTTATCCCACTGAATAGATCATGGCACTACAGAATTACTAATGATTTGTTTATCTCAGTAGTCTGATTTTAATTTCACCAACAACTGAAAATGAGCGATAGGAACAAATAATCTACAAGCTCCCTCAGAATGCAGTCAATCTGATCCATCCACTTGATAATATAATGCACATTACCTTCAGTCTGTACTCAAGCTTGATGATGGAGCAGTTCAGGATAGAAGGGGGTAGTTCTCTGGGGATGGACATCACCTTGGTCACAGTGTCTTTGCTCGAAGATGCAAGAGCCTCAATCTTGTCCTTAAGGATCTCTTTAGTGTGAACTCTCCTGCGTCCCTGAGCAAAGAAACTCTTTTTCTCGTACAGTGTGAATTTGGGCTTCACCGAACGGCTTGATTGGTTCAGGATTTCAACTGTGACTTTTATATTCTCACCTGTAAAAATAAAGGAAAAAGGATCAGGTGTGACATACATATAAATAATAGATATCATATGCACGTTGATCATAAAAACATTTGTATTGGCTACAAAGTCTGGAGTTAGGTGCTTTTGAGAGATGTGGTTTGAAAGTGACTAAGCCATATTGAGGAGCAGGTTAATAGACAAGATATAAACAATAATACGGCCTAATAATAAAATTGCTAAAGCCTGTTGGAATGCTATTAAAATATATGAATTCAATCTTTACTGTCCTTTTCAAACAGATGGAGTATTTTTGCATCATCCTCATGGCCTAATCCAGAGAGAGGTCTCTGTAGGACAACAGTATTAACACACTGAGCGGTTTAGATACACACCTTTCCTGTGTTTACATAAATAACGAAGCAGTGTCATGTTACAAAAGAGGAAATTGTTACACAACAAGAGCCTGCAAGGAACGTTTCGTTGATGTAACATTTGTCACCTACATACCTGCTTTTAAAATAACCGAGAGAGGTCCGACCAGTTTCTGAACAAGGATGAGCAGTAAAGTTCACTAGATGCAGGATTAGGTCTACTACATTATTACCTTGCTTGTACCCCATTCGTTTAGTGTGAACGTCCATGGAAACATTTCCTGAGCCAAAAACTTTGAGAGATTTATCCTTGGAGCCATACTGGGGTTCCTAAAAAAGAACAGATCCCCACCTCAGGTAAATGTAGGGAGATAATTTATTGTCTCTTTTTTAAAATCTTGTTGTAAAGATTAAGGATTTCTCACCAGAAGTCCGGGAACATCCATGTCTGCTTTGGAGCAGAACGTGAAGTGGGCTTTGGCCGTCTTCGTCAGCTTCATTGATTGTTTGAGCTCAGCCTTCACCTTGTGAACGATTTTGCCAGTGCAGTCTTTGAAAGACGATGGGATTCTTCTGTGAAGTTAAATAAGAATAAATAAATAAATTACCTAGAGAGATATAAAGCGTCAATCTACATCTAAAGATGAAGAAACGTATGAAGGCACCTGTCAGGAATCTTAAATGAAAAGGGAAATACGTGTCTTCCTTTGCCAATGACTTCAGTGCCTGGAAAAGAATAACTAATTTTAAATCTTAAATATCATTAAACAGTATATTGATGATAGCTTATCATCTCAAAAGTCATTATATAATGTACAATGTATCACATATAAATTGTACTGTATTGATTTAATACGTTACCATCTTGTCTTGCTTCTCTCAGGATATGATGCTTGATATCATAATATTTCTCATCAGCCCAGAAAACGCGGTGCTGATGTTGCCCGTAATATTCATGCCAGACAACCCGAGCTTTTCCTTTTGCTATAAAAACAAGCGACTGGACTTTAGTTTCTTTAGAAACCTCCACAATGATTCTTCCATTGACTGTATCTCCATTGGTGAAGGTGTTGTGGCTGTTGATGGCATCATATTCAATAGAGAAATTCAGGATGGTCATCGTCCGCAGAGAAAAACACACTGCGGAAAAGTCTCTTGTGAGAACAAGGAAGAAACTCAAGCCTTGTGGGCCCCACACAGCTGCTTTATATCTGGTCACAGGCGTGCAGATCTGGTCGAACTTGTTTTTCTGGTGTGTGTTAATACCTGGTCTGAACAGGGCCTAGGTTTGGCTTTCTCAGTGTGTCACATGCAGATGGTCTCATGACAAACAATCATGTCCAACAAATTTGTGTGTAACCCACTTGTGGTTAGGTTACTATCTACTAGTTTCGGTGAGGAGCTAAAGGATATAGACTGTAATAACCATAAATGAAAGTACACAAAACAACACAACAAATGCAAAATGTAATTTTATTGTAACTTAAATTGGTTGTTTGACATGGAAGGATTTCAGTCTAAATGTGCATTCACTTTAAAAGGGTAACAGCTAAGAACTCAATTTGTACAGAAACAATGTTGTGGTAATTCTAGATAATCAGTGCTCATTTGGAAACCAGGTAACAGTCTGCAAGTTTATTTCCAAAGCAGTTTCCTAAAGAAATGTAACAGACAATAAGTTGAATAAGTTCATTTGAACCAAACCCATCTCAGATCACTCAGCACGAAGACTGACTTAGAAAGAACCTGAATACTTGCACAGTTAAAAAAAACGCTATGAACCACAGCAAAAGATAAAAGTGGTGTCTGCGAAATAAAATACATTCTCACTTTTAGAAAACTAATGCCCTCTATCACACAAAAAAGACAGTATTGAAAGAGGTAGCTTGTTTGAGTTTGACCCATTCAACAATTCAAACATATAGTTAAGGAAAGTCATAACAATGATAGTGATATATATAAAAGCATGAATATAATTTCCTTATCTTCCGTTTCTCTTTAATCCATTTCCTTGAAACGTCGCCGCATCTTCTCAGGCCCATCACTCGTACTTGTTGCCACAATCCATCACAGGAGGGTACATCTCGTGTGCTCCATAGGCAGGAGGAGGACCAAAAGCTTGAGTCGCTGCAGACGGCTGAGGTGGTGCGACGCCCCAGGCCGGCAGCTCTGGATTCCCAGATTTTTCACTCTGGAATTCAGATCCAAAGTCAGAGGCCGCAGGTGGTGGTGCCACAGCGGGACCCTGAACGGCCAGCAGGATGACTATGGGAAACTTGATCAGTGGGTCCGAAGCATATTTGACATCGAGATAGACCTGTGGAAAAAAGCAAAAAAAGTTACAGACACATTCGTTGTAATAATTGAAAGTAGGTGGTTAAGCCTTAGTATTTGGCAGTCGCAGATTTTGTTGTGCATCTTTTTGTTTAACTGTGTCTTAAGGATAAATTATGATCTAACGTTAGGTTGCTAGTATAACTACTGTATTTCCTCGAAAACAAGTCGGTTATGAACTCAACTAAAAGCCAGGATGCTACAGTATGAAGCTGTGCATCTTCTGGTTCTGCGATAACAAATAAAACCTTGTTAAAACAAATGAATGGATTCATTCAACAGAAATGCTTCGAGTGCTTTTACTTTTTAATATTTGTTTGTGACATATTAAATAGACATTGAAACTGTGGTGAAATATATTTTTACTGTCTATTCTGCTGTGAACTGAGGCCAGAAATATAGGCAAGATGTCAAATAAAATGTGCTGCTCAGTCTGCTGCCTTATTGAGGGGTTACTGACCAATGTGTTGTTGCAGTGTCCTGAACATTGACCATCATAGAATTTAAGGGGTCTCTCTCTGTAGACAAATGTAATCTGTGTCATAATTCAGGGGCTTTTGCTGTTCCACAAAAGTGAGCACCATCTATTAATCCCTACAACTTTCAATACATTTATTTCCGAAGACGTTTTATACACAGTCTCTTTAGAACAAGCACACGCATCTCCTGGTCGAAGCTGCTTACCTTAAGTCTGTGTTCTACTGTGATGATGCTGCAGTTGGGGATGGAGGGCTCCACATCCTGCGGAATGGTGATGACCCTTGTTACAATTTCATTAGTAGAAGGTGGGATGGGTTCTCCCACCTCCTTCAAGATGTCTTTAGTATCCACTCTTCTCTTTCCACTTGCAAAGAAGCTGTGCTTTTTGTAAACAGTGTACTTGGGCTTGATTTCACGGGTGGAGTTGTTCTTTATGTTGGCCACAACCTTCAACCCTTCTCCTGGAAAACAGACCAAAATGATCATTAACAACCGTTAGCATGGGAGCGATGGGTGTCATTATAAACTATGTGGGCTCTTACCTTGGAAGAAACCTGTTTTTTCAAGATGTACATCCATGGCTACTGATCCTGAGTTGAAAAACTTCATTTTCTTGTCCTTAGACTCTTGCTGTGGTGCCTGAAAAACCAGGTTAAGTCATGCAATACACTTAAACCACAAGAGAGAGACCACACATGTTTATGTCCAGTACATGTGTCTGATCCAGTTCAACAGGTGTCATTTTAAAACAAGGTAATTGGTAATATCTGTATAGTTTAAAAAATATCACATCAAGCATTTCAGTTTCAATGTATGGCCAACACATGTAGTTTTTCAGGTAATAGTTAGGACTTATGTTACATAGGCTGGCAAATATTTGCTCAAATATATGAACACCTGGAGGCTCTATGGTCATTGCTCAACAAACGTACTATGTCCAGCCACCAAACAGAGGCTGGATTGTAGTCACTCAACTGCTCACCAAATTCCTGCAGAGCTTTATTTGAGCATATACCAGCACATACCAGTAGTTGAGGGTCACCGCTCAGGTTGGTTCTTGAAACAAAGTTGATTTTAGTCGAATCTTTCTTGGCAATTCTCATCGATCTGCTCAACTTGGCTTCCAGCAAGTACACGATTTTACCGACAGAACCTTTGAAGGAGGACGGCAAATTCCTACAGCACGAGAGTAGAGGGCCAGAAGGACACGAGAAGTCAATGGCAATGAAATGAATGTGCAGTGGGTCTATAAAATAATACTAACATCCTTTTGAAATTCACCAAGCAAACCTATTCCATCAAAATTCCTGCAAAAAATTATCTAGAAGTTTTACATAAGATAATACGACAGTGTTAAATATCTATACAAGTAAAAATTATTCTTGTTATTAGTATTATTATTATTATTTAAAACCAGTTAAAAAAATATACTCACTGGAAAGGGAACTGAAAGGTGAATGGGTAAGTGTGGCATCCTGGGGCAACAATATTGCTGTCTGAAAACACAACAGGAAAGGGTTAAAGAAAATGTTCTAAACGTGTTTGGTTTACAGCCTAAAGTGACAAAGTGTGGAAAAAACCGCACAAGCCCTTAGGATGTGGAGGAATTTGGGGCCTGGAGGTCTGATGTGAGAGTGTTAAGAGACAGAAGCAGGAAAAGTGTCACAAAAATCATTCAACATTCATAAAGTTTCTTATTGGACAGCAGAGAGAAACCTAAATAACAACAATACAGGAGGTTTTTGTGTGATAAAATCCCAGCTGAGCGACACAACTATAAAAAACTTACATGTTTCTCCATTCTGGCTTGTCAGAGGTGTTTGGTCGTCTGTAGAAGAAGAAAAAAAAACACACAAGCATTTGGTACTTTTGGCTGGGAAAATACAATTATTTATGTTTTTATGTTTCAATTAATAACCTGTAGATCATTTCATAAATAATTTAATAAATACAGCAATACCTACTTATATCAGTTAATTGAGAAAAACTGCCAATGTTCATCGATGAGGAATCATTGCCAAATTGCAATAATAAAACTGCTGATATATCGATACATCGGCTCTGAAAATAATAAGTAATAATAAATCAAAATACGCCAAGCATTTAAAATTTTTAAACTTTGTTTTGCACATTTTTCTTTTTTGAGCAAAATTGCTTTTTTGTTTTGTGTTGTGTAATACACAAAATAAACAAATGATCTTTTTATAGTTTTACATGGAATTTGAAACACGTGGTTTGACGTTTTCCTGTGATGACCTCTGTAAAGGTGTGTAAGCAGTAGGAGCAAGAGGAGGTTTGACTGATAGCTGAGTGTTACTGGCATTCTGAAAAATGACTAACATTCCTTGGATTTCAGAGCGCTTTTATTTTGAAAGGGCCTCTGCAGCCATGCCACGCTCTGCACCGCGTTAGTAAGGAAGAATACTTGAATCCTACTTTAGATTTAAACCGTGTGAAGTTGACCACTCACCTTTGTCCTTCTTGATGAAGTGAAGCTTCTCACTGAAGTACTTGTCCTTGGAGCTGTACACAACAGTGGTCTGTCCGTGTCTCTCGGTCCATATGACTTCAGCTTTGCCTTTGAACTTCACAGACAGAGACTCGATCTGACAGTCTTTAACCACCTCCAGCATCACCTGACCTGACACCAAGTCTCCCTGCGTAAACGTTTCCCTCTCATTCACCTGATTGTAGGTGACTTTTAGACTTTTCACGGTGGTCGACATGGCGCGCGGACACACACTCAAACCCTCACACACACACAGACACACACACACACAGACACACACACACACAGTGAATTGGGGGAAGAAGCACAACAACTTCAGTGGGTGGGTTAGTCCCTGAGTGGGCGTGTCCCAATCCTGAGGAGGAAGCAAGGAGATAACCTTTATATGGTCTATGACATTACCCCAATGTTACACCCCTCCCCTCAATTCACTCATTCATCCATTATTGGATATGTGTTAATTCCTACACCACTCATTCACGCATCCATTCATTATCAGACATCTTATTTCCTATACCACTCATTCATTCATTAGACATTTATTATTTCCTATATCACTTATTACCTCAGTAATCATTTGACATTAAATATTAGACATACCTTATACCCATCATTCACTTATTCATTACTGCCATATATTGTTTCCTATACCACTCATTCATTATTAGACATATCTTATTTCCTATACCACTCATTCACTCATTAATTGTTGAAAATTAAATTTTGGACATATTATTATGTATTATTTCCTGTACCACACAATAACGCCGTCGCTATCAAACATGTCTCATTTCCTGTCTATTTTAAGATAAAAGTTGGTGGGATATCCTTAATGGTCATTCCGTATCAGTTTAGTATCAAAACTGCAACCTGCAAAAATAAAAATATAGGATTCAAAAAGTAGGTGAAGAAAATTTACAGTATATTATAAGATAAGATACGATAAGATAACATGAGATGAGATGATATAAAATAAGATAGGATACAATTAGATATCATAAAACCACTATGATACCCTATACTATGATACGCTACTCAATGATGCGATACAATGTGATATGATTAGATGAAATGAGATGAAATGAGATGAAATGAGATGAAATGAGATAAGTCAAAAAACACTAATGAAAAATAAATCTTGGATCTATAATTTGAATTGCCCCACCCCTCCACAAAATTTCATATTAATTGGTTAAGTAGTTTTTGTGTAATCCTAATAACAAACACAGATGAGAACATAATCTCAATAATTTACTTGCTCCAAAGTTATTTTCCAGCTCCCACCTTGATCAAATAGCAAATTCATTAATCTCTCCCAGTGTGTTTGGTTTAAAATGAGGTGTGGTCAGGCGTGATGTTGGTGCATTGTTATTTTGACACACTGGAACTTGATTGGTGATGCAAGTGGTGCAAGATGGGTTGAGTTATAGTGGTAAATTCCTGTAGCTGTTGTTCAACCAACATTTTCCCCAATTACATAATCCAGATTATTGCACTATTGACTCACTAAGGTACAATTTCAAAACCAATTTGTTTTTGCAGTCAATTTGTCCCAGTAACTGCAACATGTTTATGTGCAATTCTACGGTAACACTTTATATTAGGGAACACATATCAACCATTAACTAGTTGCTTATTAGCATGGATATTAGAGGCATATCGACTCTTTATTAGTCATTATAAAGCACTTTTTAATGCCTTATTCTTAATGACCTTATTCTGCAACTACTCTATTGATTAACAGTTTTCCCTTAATAACCTCCTTAATACTGCTTATTGATGGTACGTAAGGAAGTTGTTGTACATGAATTACAATCAAGTGCTTGGATATGTTCACTTTGTGTGTTCCCTAACATAAAGTGGTACCAATCCTACTTACACATTATTTATCCTGTTTACAGTGTATTATTGCAATTCCTATACTTCATTATATTTAAAGATTGCCCCTGTTTTTATTTCATTGTGTTTATTATCTTTTACTGATGCTTTACTATCCCCTTTGCTGCTGCGGTATGGCAAAATTTCTGTATTCTGGGATGAAAAAGGAAAATATTATCTCATATGCATCTATGTAGGTAAGTGCACATAGGCATACACTCTCTGTTACACACAGATGGTCTGCTAGCGAAATGAAGGAGTAGCATTCACTCTTACTACCTGGAAAATCCACCTTTATAATAGCATTCTGCCAAGATGTAAACATACCTGGCTTTTATGGGGAATGGGAGTCACTCTTGTTTATTACATGTAAAGCTCAAAATACATGCACAATTAATGAAGAGAAAAGAGTTAAAGACTAGAACAGGTTGTCACAAACCAGTACAGCTATGACAAAAGATGAAGACACGGAAAATTAACAATCAATGTGTTTATTAATTATGATTATGTAATTATTAATATAAGGAGTGGATTGAAAGCTAACGATGGTGTATTAAGTCATATCAGCATGGTAGGTGGGTGCATGAGAAAGGAAATGTGACTGTGCAAAAACACTAACCAACCACCAACCAGTTGAAAAAAAGTTGAGAAAAACAATTGAGCTCTGACTGAGACTTTAATATCGGAGCCTCTGGCACACAGGGGCCAGGTGGAGTCCAGGTGCTGTTACCTGACATGAAGCTCTGCCACGACCTACCTCCAGTACTTGCATAGAAACCAGCCACGAACCAAATGACAGGCACAGAGAGCAGAGGAGGTTGCCAAGCTCTAAATGCACTTGTACACAAAAGGAGTGATGCATTTGACATTCAAACAAATTCAACTGACTACCTTGTTCGCATGAAATCAGTCGTGAGATAAGGAGTACCTTTGAAAAGGTGTCACACCCTCCTGACCACTTCTAAACATAAAGGTCAGTCACCAATAGGTCATATTCACCAACCTATGAGCTGTGATTGCGACCATTATGTGACTCATTCAGGATTTATTCTGTGCTGGAAAGAATCATCTTGTGACTGATGGTTTACCTCATGGTTTGAGTTATTACCCTAATCTGTGTGTGTGTGTGTGTGTCAAGGTCGACACAAATATGTTCCATTAACACTTTTCCAAGATATCTCAGCAAATAACAGAGACAATCTGAAGCTTATATTGATTTACTGATTAATTCAAATGAGAAACAACTGATATCACACAGTGAAATAACTTACACATACACACATGCAATACCTATTCACATACACTCCACAGTTAAAGTTTTGTATAAACTATAACATTTGTAACAAATGTCCCACTGCACCTTTGAATGTATATAGTTGTAATTTTTGTATTGTATTTAATATGTTAAGCTCTTTCTACCTTGCTTTTATTTTAACTATTGCACTGCTGAGCTGACGGGTTTCTTCTTGTCCAACATTGTACTGTTGACACTGTGTTTACTTACATATGACCAAAACAACTTGAAACTTAAAATGTATACCCTATCATATTTCATATGATAGGTGACATCATTTAAAAGTATCATAAAAATGATAGCATTGACTGAGACATTATAATCTATGCTACAGTCTATTGTTCCCTGACTGACATCACGTCTGAAATAGAGATGGAAGGAATGGAAACTACATTATCTTCTGTGTTCTCTGGAATAAGATATTTGATTAAGGAGCGATAGAAAATATGTTTACATACGTGTAGTTTATTTAAAAGCAGCAAGTCTGAGACATATTCTGTGTGTCATAATATTTAGCATTTGAGTATTTGTCATTCAACATGATGCAATGAAATACAGTGAAGAAATCTACAGTATTTACTGGCAATCACATCCTCTCTGTAATACAGGAGCTACAGCTTAAATAGAACACTGAAATGTAATATACTACAAATACTGTATTTTTTACATAACATTTTCTCTGAGCACTTCACATTGTATGCATTTGAGCATCTAGTACTTCCCATCAGCACCAGTCAATGAGGGGTACATTGCATATGTACCATAGGATGGAGGTGGAGCAGAGGGGTCCAAGGCTGTTGGGTTTTGTAGGAAATTGGTCCCTACGCTTAAGTCGGCAAACCCGTCAAATCCATATGGGGGGGGCTGCCTCTCATCATCAGGCCCCTGTGGAGCAGGAAGGATGACTATAGGGAACTTGATCTCGGGGTCCGAAGCATATTTAACATCCAGATAGACCTGTGGCAAAGAAAAAATACTCAGCATTTGTATTTCTGGCCACGAAGCCGTGTTATCATGAAGACATGCAGAGACACTTGTTTGGAAAGGGAGACACGCACCCTGAGTCTGTACTCGGCTTTGATGATGCTGCAGTTTAAGATGGACGCACACATGGTGGCAGGGATGGTGATGATCCTGGTGATAGTCTGACCTGCAGAAGGCGGAATGGCTTCGCCCACTTCTTTCAGGATGTCTTTGGTTTCGACGCGCCTCTTGCTTTTTGCAAAGTAGCTGTACTTCCTATACAAGCAGTACTTGGGCCTAATGTCACGAGATGACTTGTTCTGAATGGAGGCCACAACTTTGATGCCTTCACCTGGAAAACACAGCAGCCCTTATGGTTTTGTTGACACCTACACACAAGTGAAGCCACATTCCATTACACCTCGGAGCTCAGCGCTCAGAATGAGGTCACACCCGAGTTGTTAGCATTCCAGTTGCGCAGGAACAATTTTTAAGTTAGCCAGCAAGCCATTAAAAATCAGCTCATAATAATGCATTAAGTGGCATTCCACATATGCTTATGCCATAATAACACGTCCACAGACAGTATTTGTACAGCACTGTGTGTACGACAAATATAATGACAGAAATGCTTATAAACAGTAAAACATTTAGCTTTTTTTTTTTAGCTTTTTAGCTTTCAGTCGGGGGTAGTGAGGTCCCTGTATAAATTATATAAAAAATATTAAATTCACTTAAAGCTAGTCTGTGCAACTTTTATTGAACAGTTGCCTCCTTGTCTATAAGTGAAAAGAAATACAACTGCTAAATGAAGCCAAACAGCAGCACTGGTTTCATAATCTACCACATTACTCATCTGTTATATATCAATCTCTATCTGAACTTTACTATCATTTGTTTATATTAGCCACTCCGACCAGACAGTGTGAAGCTGAAGTGTGAATGCAGTAAAGGTTTGTTTTCATACTAAACACAGGAAACCCTTTTATTTATTTGAAAATAAATCTCCTTATCTTCAGACCATAAAAAAGTTCCATGAAGAAAAGGGACTTTGAACTACTCATGGTTCAGCTGTGAAGATTTGATGTTTTACTGCAGCCTGCTGATAAAATAATCGGTGTGAATGAGGGAATAAATTACATCATACCTTGGACGAAGCCTGTCTGTGTAATATTTACATCCATGCCCACTGTTCCTGACGTGAAGAGCTTCATTTTCTTATCGATGGTACTGTGCTGCGGAGTCTGAATGAAACAGAAAAAAATTAAACGAGTCAGAGATAGTGTTAATTCTCATAACTGTGTCAAAGTCAAACAGGACAACATCATGGATGTGTATGTATGACCTTGTTTGTGTGTGTTTTAATGTGGGTACCATCAGAAACGCATCACTGTGTGGGTTTCTTTTCTGCATGAGGGTGAACGAAGCCTTAGCTTTACTGTCCAATTTCATGGGCCTGCTGAGGATCGCCTCCACTGTGTACACGATCTTTCCATGGGAGCCTTTAAAGGAGGACGGCAGCTCTCTATATGACATGACCACACCATGTACAAAACACAAAGTCACAATAATGTTCTTTTATATTACATTATCATTTGTTTATTTTATAATAATTGAGAACTCACTGTGCTGGAATCTGAAAGGTGAATGGGTAGTCGTGGCAGCCTGGGCCGACAGTGCTGCCTGAAAAACAACAACAAAACAAAGTGACTCAATCCACTGATAAAAGCAAGGTTTCTAAATAAATGAATGAATACATTGGCAGCCCAGCATGGCTGATAATGTTGAATAGTAGAAGTGTACGTTAATTGCCCTGAAGGGTCAGGATGACAGGATCGGTACAAAGTTCAAGAGCAAATGCTCCTTTTACAACTGTTTCTTAATCAGTGTGAATGATTCAAAACACATAGGCATTTCATAAAACTTAAATCTTAGGTCAGTCAGGGACATGATTTTACAAACTTCTGCTTAATCCATGTTGATTTATTTCACTTTTTCTAACATTGCAAGACATTACATTTTTCAACAGAGAATAATTGGTCACTGATGAAAGTATACGCTCAGATTGC